CGATGACATCATAGTGATGTCACCCGGCCTGCTGTCCAGACCGCCTGTGTTACGAACTGTGTGTGGTTGTCGTAGAGTGTGTGTGTAAGAAGTAGGCGTAGTCATGGTGACGCCATCCGTCAGTTCACTTCACTTAACACAAAAACACAATGCGGTTCTACACCGTGCTACACACCCGAGTGCTACACACCGAGTGCTACACACCCGAGTGCTACACACCCGAGTGCTACACACCGAGTGCTACGCTGACACGGCCCCCGGTCTGTGTGTCCTGACAACAGCAATAAGAACAGTTCTGTGTCGAATCCTGCAGGACGAGCGCTGGTTCATGTTAGCTGTTACGAAGCTGTCGGATAACAAAGCTAACGGTTGCGTTTGCGATTCAGTAAGAATTAGTTTCAGCTAAAGAACTTTATCATGATGCGTTCAAATGTCTTCTTGTGGAAGGGTCGAAGGGACCAGTTTTCACGTTTTTTAAGGCACCGGTGTCGAATCGACCCTGTTTGGGAGGCGTGCTATTAAGATGTAGCAGCGACGCCAGTAAGAGGCACCGAGTTACGGAGGCCAGGTTACCTGCTTTGTTTAGGCTCAAAGCGGTAAACGTTCCGCACACACACACGCACTAGTACTTATTACGTAGGTTTCGGTGGCGATCGCCGGAAAAAAAGGGCCGGAACAGCGTCCGTGTGGGGCAGTGCTAACATCAGCTTAGCCACCGACTGTAACATCATTGACGTCCGGGCCTCTCGGACCTTTATTGCTTAATTATTGCACAGTGGACAATTATGTTTGTCGGTCAGCGTCAATGAAAACGCACGCTGGTTGTAGTCGTCACTCAACCGCACTGATCAGCCGAATATTGAGCCTGAAATAGTTTGTCACTCACCGCTGGTGACGCCTGCCGGTCACGTTGTCAGATCTGATATCGGTAAACATGCTGCCGCTCGCACAACGCAGCTGGTGTGGTGACATCAGCTGCACAGTGATACTCCATTTGATTCGGTCCATGTTTGATAGGTAACGTAGACGGTTACTGGCATAACATATTCACAGAGTTGTGCGTTTTGACGAGCATGTTGTAGAATACAGGATGCGCCACACGAACGGACGGTAAAAGCAGCTTATTGCACCACTGCTTTGTATCTGAAAGCTACATTTGTCATTGTGACACCTAACTGTAATCACACACATATTGCACGTAAGTAGCTTATTAAATACGATGGTTTAATAAACGTTTCACGTCGTGCCCAGCTTCCCCGGCTGCAGGTGTTCGTGGTGCACGGCTCCACGGTGCTGCAGCAGAAGCAGCTGGAGGCTCTCTGCTGGTTCTGGTCCCCGTTGTTGCTGTGACGCGGACCATCTGCAGTCCAACAAACGAGTGTTCAGGGTCACAGACCTTCTTGTGCCGCTGGTGTCCGCTGCTCTTCCCTCCCACTCGGCCCCTGAAGCCCCCCCCCCAGGTGATCGCGGCTGATCCGAGTCCTTGGTCCAGCTACAGGCAGGCGGTCCGGAGGGGGTCCAGCTGAGAGGACAAAGTCCAGAAGGGGGGCAGAGGTCAGGAAACAAGACGGCCACACGGGGCCTGGGAAGCTACGTCCCACACAGGGAACAATGGCTCGGGGGGGGGGGGGGGGCTCTTTACTGTGGGAACGGACCCTCGTGGATGTGGAGAGGTGGAACCCACAGGGGGAGAAGACACTAAAGCATTTCTGACTTTTAGCTTCACAAATGTCTCATTTTGTCTCAGGAAGTCGGTCAGGGGCCTGAATCCGTTACTGAAGGCTCCGGGGGTAGAACACCTGGCGGGGGGGGGGGCTATGTAGAAGTGAGACGAGCAGACGTCTGTTCTACGTTCAAAGCTCCTTCTGAGGGTTTCAAATGTCTGTGCTCATATTTAATGAAGCCGAATCCTCAACAGGAATGAAACCATCAGATTAAATGAGTTGGGCTCATTTTGTTATTAGGTATTTTTCATCGGTGAGTTTTGAACCCAATAAATGTGTAAACGCTCACAAGACACAGCCACCCACCGATCACCGGGTAACCACGGATGTCTCCGCGCAGGTGGTGATTCCCCTCCGAGGGGCGTTGCCTCACGCCGGGCTGTCGCTCTGATGTCTGAGCGCCGCAGCGTTGTGGTTGTCGTGGTGACGGTTGGCCATTTTTTACTCCGGCTTTCACTTTGCCTCCGACGGACCAGGGAGACGCCGGATGGAGTATTTCTGGAAACTCCTTCTTTTCCCAACACAGGTTAATTTTTTCTCGTGTTGCTGCCGGCGCTGTTGACACAGCTGGCAAAGCAAACACGCACTAGCGGGGGGGGGGGGGTGGGTGGCGGGGGAGGTGGGGGGGGGGGGTCACGGTCCAATCTGCGTCGAGGGGAGGGGAGCGGAGGGTTTCTTATTGTTCGCTGTGGGACCGTCTGCCTCACGAGGTTCCTGCAGCGGCCCCGAGGAAGGTCGTGATGTGGTGCTGGAGCCGCTGGACCTGTGGACTGCTGGTCAGGACAGGTGCATGCTGGGACGGGACAGGAAGCACAGCGGGCAGACAGGTCTGATTGGAGTTTTATTTGGGGTTTTAGGACATGGGTATGGACAGTGCGCCTGTGTCTCTGAGGACAGGGGGTCGGGGATCAGACCTGTGAATTCACCGCCAGTAAAACCGAGTTTTAAGGATTGATTAGTAAACAATGTGTTGACAAACAGGAGAAATCTGCTGATTGATTCCAAATTCCACCTTTCTTTGTTTGTTCGGACCGATAAGATGTTACGGGTTGAGTTGGTGGGTTGATTCTTTATTCCTGTAATACACGTATATGTATTTACATCTCTGTGTATGTGCTGGGACTCAGCTTGTTTGGGTACGTGAGCGTCGGGCCGATCACACGCGTTGGACTTCAGACTCATTTTGATTTTGACGCCTGTGAGTCCTCGATGATATTTCTTTAGTTTACGTAGAACAGACAGCGGTCTAAGCGACATTTTACTGTTACGGACAAACAAATTAGGATAAAATAAGGAACATCTCAAGCACCTCAAGCACCTTCCCAGAATGCAACAGGTCACAACAGGGTTGAGACGTAAAGAGCTTCTCTTTTCATTCGCCTCGTCTCCTTCGCCGTCCTTCGGGGGATCGTAAAGCGCGTCGGAGCGGCAGCACGGTGCCGCCTCCCGCCAGCTTTTGCTCCAATCACAGCGGGCTCAGAGTCCCTCGGCGCTCCCACGGCCCTCTGGGACGTCGACCCAGTGGGGACGGCTGTTTCTCATGAAGCTTTCTGTTATTGTGGAAAAGAAAGTCTGCAGTCAGTGTTTCATTTTCACACACACACACGGCTCTCATTGAGTTTGTAGTCGCGTTCATCCTTCAGATGCTGTTTATTTCAGCCCTCCACACCTGTTCATCCTGAAGTGTATGTATTTGTTCTCCCCCCGTGAAGATGTGTGAGGCTCCGATGCCTTTGTTGGTTTCAGGGACGAATTTGCTTCTCATTTGGACCGGTTGGATTAATTGAGAGTTACTCATCGTTTTAGAAGCTTGGCCGACGTGTCATTAGACGGTGGGCGTCTCGTCTTGGTGTTTGTTCCTGGTGTCGGCCTGCAGGAGGCAGCGTCTGCCGACAGAAGCTCCTTCCATGGAGCATCATCTCCTGTCTTCATCTTCTCGTGTTGATCTTTGACCTTTTACTGTACACGTCATCTTTGCTAAATATGAATGTTTGAAGTCATCAGCTCTGGGAAGTTATGACGGGTATTTTTAAAAATAATTTTCTGACATTTCACAGACCAAAGAAACAACATTAATCAGGAAAGCTTGCAAATAATTGGCGAAGGATTTAATAATTAATACAATTATGAGTTGTAGTCGTATCCAGATCTTTGCTTCAGTAAACATCTAAAGTAAATGTCATTAGGTTAGATGAAGGATGACGGTACACATTTAAGTTTAAGTTTAAGTTAGTGCTTAACATTCAAATCTTTAGCAGCATTGAAATATTTTGGTAAAATGAAAATAAAATGGGAAATCCATCAACAACATCAGATTTAAAAATAGCCTTTTTAAACGAGTTAACCTTATTTTAAATGCTTTACATACCACTGAGTAGCTTTTGCTTTATTCTCTATTAGTCTTAATAATCAAAACATATGATGACTAAAGCTGTTTCATAAAAATGTAAAACCTTAAATATTTCCTTCTTAATTTGGAGAGAAATGCAAATATTTGAGTACCTTTTAACTTGTACTGCGGTCTAATGTTACTGTGTGATGTTTGCAGACCAGCTGGTCAGTAAACTGTACATCAGTGTTTCCCCCAACAACCTGCTGCCATAGTGAGCGCAGAAACAACGCTGCCGTCATTTCCCAAAGGAATGACGTAACGCTGCATTCAGGGACACTGCGTACATCTGTACCGAAGTTGTTGGTATTAACTTGATACAAAAACAATAGTCCTCGTTAGATAAAGAATATAGTTAAAAAAAAATTCTTCTGATTTTATATGGTAAAAACCAAATATGGAAAATTCTCGTAATATTATATTGCGGTATATTAAATATATCAGCATTAAAAACGTTCTGAGCATTGTAAACAGAATAAAACAATAAAGAAGTAGAAATACAATTCTATACATATATATATATATATATATATATATATTATATATACACCTATATAAATATACTATATATATTACAAAACTCTGTTTATATGCAAGATGTGTGCAAGGTGTGAACATTTGTGCAAATAAACTTCCAAACTGATATAACATAGTCTAATTAATAGAATTGTTCTGTAATCATCACATAATTATGATTAAACAACAGACCGATTGTTATTTGTTTATTTCTATGACTACAGCGATTAAAAAAATACACAACACCCGTGTTTTCTTGATATAAATATTACTTCTAACCATGGCAATCCTCCGTTACTTCCCGGGTCGTTCATATTCCCGACGGCCCTGAAGGCAGCACAGGCTCTGTGGGCGGGGCTTAGGGAAGCCCAAGTGCGACTCGTCAGACCGCGTCAGACCGCAGCGATGATCCGCTGAGCCGCAGACTGCAGCTCCGCTCAACGGCGAACCAGCAGCAACTCCGATTAAACCCGTGAAATAAACCACAGAATGACGCCACCTTCGCCGTGACGGAGCTCTTGGCTCCGCGGGGCCCCCCATGGTCCATTTCCCGGGGGGCAGACCGAGGCGCGCGGCCTCAAAACCGGGACGGTCGGAGATGTTCGACTCGTCGTGGCGGGTGCGCAGCATCTGGGACGGGGTGAGGCTGGAGGTGTCGGAGCACCGCGGCCCGGTGGTGCTGCACAGCCTCACGCACCTGGACCCGGACCTGCCGCTGCTGGAGGTGAGCCGGGGAGGGGGGGGGGGGAGGAGGCCCGACGGGACCCGAGGGGACCGTTAGGTTGATGCCGGTTGTTTGGCGTGTGATTCGGGGCCGGATGGAGGATCCAGGGTTCCGCATCCTGGTTTATCCTGAACGTTTAAGAAACCACAAATCAAATGGTTTCATTTACCACCGCGTTTAATACTTTTCAATAGGTATTTGTAGATGTGAGACTAGTGTCACACAAAGCAGTTTATTACATGCTTAAAGTATCCCACATATTCAGTGAGGGGATGATGTAATCCTGTGGAGGCCTGATGGGAATCAAGTAGGTGCTATTTAAACAGATGGTCTGTATGAAGTAATGGTGATAAAAGCAGAACTATGAAGCACCAGCTGGTCAGAGCGAGAGTATGGAGCTGCTGTACTGGTTCCTGCTGCCGCACACTTACTCAATACCACACTGATGGTGAGTCAATATTAATACTGCTTATATTCACAGTGCTCATGTCACCAACCCAACCCCCCCCCCCTTATGAGTCCACACTGCTTTTATCATAAAGCAATCAGCTGATTGGTCTCATACTTAATTAATTATATTGTTCCTCCAATAAAAAGTCAATATATAAAGAGAATATCAGTGCAAAAGCCAAAGACATTTATTTCCAATGTTATGAAACATTGATCTTTTTCCTAAAATGAGACTCGAGCTCTTTATGTAATTTCTCGTTAGAGATGAACGGTGTGTGTCCTCCACCCACCGACTGGGTCGTCTCATTTCACATCCACCACGTCCCTGTCCTCTTGGACCCAGTCCCTCTGTCGTATGTGAAGAAATGGCCAAAGGAACCATCCCGTTGGATCGGGGGGGGGTCATTATTAATATCCACGCTCGGTGCCGTCATCGATCCGGGCTCACGAGTTCCCCTTCAGGGCTCCGAGGCAGCTCCTGAGAGGCGCTCTGATCTAATCCTCTCTAACACAATTACCTAATGCTTAATCCCCCCCCCACTCCCCCTTTCTGCTGGGCCGACGGCCTTCAGACCCAGAGAGCCTGAGATGGACGTCGCTCAACGTCCGGGTTCTTTTATTAACAACCGGGTCGGATCCGGCCCCCTGTTTGATTCCTCTGGCTCCGCTTGACCACCGTCACGATCCACTGACTAGAGTATCTACCGACCCGTTGATGTCCGAGTGTATATTTCATTTGCAAAAGTCTTTTTGTTCTGCATAAAGTTTGGATTCAAATCTTTGTGGCACAAAGCGCGACGGCCTCTTGTCCTCCACTTCTTACGTCGTGTCAGAGAAACAAAGAACGCACTGCTGCTCATTCATGAGTCCTTTAAACCGGACTCTCAGACCGGTTCAGGACCGTTGGGTCCAAACTACTGTTTCTTCTATAGAAGTCTTGACATGTATTTTAGGATGTAATCGATGCGCGGTGCGATTCTGAAGATCCGGTGAAATCAGAGACTGTTATTGCTCTGAAGAGGCTTCATTTCTGCTGAATCACGGTCTGATGTCCTTCTGCTGACTCGGCAGCTGTCTGTCCTTGGTGGACTAGTCTCTGGTGGGGGACCTGGGTCTCTGTCCTTGGTGGACTAGTCTCTGGTGGGGGACCTGGATCGGTCCTCGGTGGACTGGTCTCTGCTGGAGGAGCGGAGTCTGTCCTTGGTGGACTGGTCTCTGGTGGACTGGTCTCTGGTGGGGGACCTGGGTCGGTCAGTAGCCTCGGATCTGAGTATTTCAGGGTCATAAATTGAACATTATTAGAGGAATATGTCAAGTTATTGTTTTCTTCTCTGCAAATTAAGAGATCTTGTTATTAGAGATCTTGTCATGAACATCTTGTCTTTGGGAGAGACGTACGTTGTTTGATATCTTTATCTTTATTATTATTATTATTGTCCCAGCGCCTGATTGAAGATAACAATGAAAGAAACGCCACCATAGAATAACCATACGACTCAGATAAATGAAGCAGCTCATGTGAAAAACAAGAGTGAGAATATACAATGAGTCACAGAGATGGAGAAAGAACCCGGCCTTGGTATCTCCTCTTTATTGAGTCAGATATTTGGAGAAGCTTCTGGAAGTGTGACATTAGACTCTGCAGGAGGATCTCTCCCCTCTGACTCCCTGCTGCCTCCTCTTTTGAAGACGTTCTCTGGTTTTCATGATTCAGAAGGTGCTGATGATGGACTCCTGAAGCCACGCCGTCTTCTCTGGGAAACGGAGCACGTGAAGGTGTGTGTGAACACTCTTGTTTTGGAGGGCTGTGATTATTGTGCACCTACTAAATACGCGACCACTTAAGAGGGAAACCACTCGTCCAAACAAAGGAAAGAACTGGTGGAAGCGACAGGAACTGGGCTGTTACTGGTGGAATCCCATTGAACGATAAAGAGGCTCTATTCACCTCGTGGACCAGCTTTATGTGACCAAGGGCTCGAGGGAGCAGGAGACACCGAGTGGAGATGAACGTCTGCATGTGGGCTCCTCGTTTCACAGAGCAAATGTGTTCCAGTCGAGTTCCAAGTTCCAAAAATAGCCCCTTTGTGTTGGCGGTAAATTGGACGTAGATGGAATCTTTTTTAAGACTATCTCAGTACAGCAAGAGAAGAAGAAGAAGAAGAAGAAGAAGAATAGACTCTGTGATTTGCGTTTGATCAAAAGTGAGAGAATAAGAAATAAAGCCATTGATTAGCAGCTGGATGGCAGTGACTTGACTTTATCTCACCACGTCCATCAGAGGGAAGCTTTGCTTTTGATGACCCCCGATGTTTCTTTTAGCACCATCATGAGGTCACCAACTTAGTTTGGCCTCCCAAACGTCCCCTCGTTCCTCCTCGTTCCTCCTCCTCTTGACCAGCAGCCCGATGACTCACCGGCTGGCAGCACTCATTGTCTGGCTTGTGCTGTTTGGGCTTGTGGTGGACGCTCTCTATTGTTGCTTTGTTTCGCCGTTGACCGTTTTCTCTTTCTCTGCTGGTTACTAAGCGGCTAACGCTAGCTAGCTGTCCTCCTGACGCTTCCAGCGCAGATGTGTCCATGATTGGCTAATTTATTCACAGTGTGAAACTTCTGCCTAAAAGAGACTGTGGTCGTCACATTCCTCCCGCGTAGGTCAGGGTGGAGGACGCCTGACGTTCCTGTGGAGCCTCCTCCAGTCCAGCAGATACTCTACCCCAGACGCTAGCTAAAAAAACTACATTACGAGGTGACTCCTGTGCTGATTGATGCTAATTAGCGTTGTGAGCTAGTTCTCTCTGTTGGTCTTAGGAGCTGGCAGCATGTTTCTGTTCAGCCTGGATGTTGACTACTAAGTTTCCCGTGTTTGATAGATCAGATTTCCACATCAGGACCAATCTGGATGAAACAGATGTTTTTATTTCCCTCCGTTGTGTCATGCTGCGTCGCGTGCTGCCCACACCGAGTGTTGCATAAGGCCATTCAAACGGTTTGTTTAGTTGAGCCAAAGAGGGTTTTTCTATAAATAAAAGCAGTCTGTTCTTTTTCTGTTTTCAGAGCGTCGTGCTCAAAATGCAACGTTCAGGGTCCCCTCGTGTTCCCGGCTGAACATTTGCGATTACACGGCACATATAGTACGACAAAGCTCTGCTGTAGTGATCAGCCTGTGGGTCGATCAGTAGCTCTTCCTTCGTCACACTGGTTCATCCTCTCATCAGCCACGGCTCGGTGTCCAGTGGGACCCGTCGAACCGGGGATCGCACCTCAGATCTTCCCTTCTGAGTCAGAGCGCCCCGAGATGAACATCACGCTGTGGTGAAGAAGACTTGAAACTACAGACTGAGACCATAAACTCATGTTTACAATGTTTACTGAGGGAATAAATCCAGAGAGAAGTAGAGTCATTTCCTCATAGACGTCTATGGGAGCAGAGGAGTCGCCCCCTGCTGGTCACTACAGAGAAGTAGAGTCATTTCCTCATAGACGTCTATGGGAGCAGAGGAGTCGCCCCCTGCTGGTCACTACAGAGAGGTAGAGTCATTTCCTCATAGACGTCTATGGGAGCAGAGGAGTCGCCCCCTGCTGGTCACTACAGAGAAGTAGAGTCATTTCCTCATAGACGTCTATGGGAGCAGAGGAGTCGCCCCCTGCTGGTCACTACAGAGAAGTAGAGTCATTTCCTCATAGACGTCTATGGGAGCAGAGGAGTCGCCCCCTGCTGGTCACTACAGAGAAGTAGAGTCATTTCCTCATAGACGTCTATGGGAGCAGAGGAGTCGCCCCCTGCTGGTCACTACAGAGAGGTAGAGTCATTTCCTCATAGACGTCTATGGGAGCAGAGGAGTCGCCCCCTGCTGGTCACTACAGAGAACTAGAGTCATTTCCTCATAGACGTCTATGGGAGCAGAGGAGTCGCCCCCTGCTGGTCACTACAGAGAAGTAGAGTCATTTCCTCATAGACGTCTATGGGAGCAGAGGAGTCGCCCCCTGCTGGTCACTACAGAGAAGTAGAGTCATTTCCTCATAGACGTCTATGGGAGCAGAGGAGTCGCCCCCTGCTGGTCACTACAGAGAAGTAGAGTCATTTCCTCATAGACGTCTATGGGAGCAGAGGAGTCGCCCCCTGCTGGTCACTACAGAGAAGTAGAGTCATTTCCTCATAGACGTCTATGGGAGCAGAGGAGTCGCCCCCTGCTGGTCACTACAGAGAAGTAGAGTCATTTCCTCATAGACGTCTATGGGAGCAGAGGAGTCGCCCCCTGCTGGTCACTACACAGAATGCAGCTTTGTCTCATGACGCTTTGACTTGCATTATGATAACTGTCCTCAGACTGACTCAACATGAGGGACAAACTGAGCCAAAGTGTGAGGATAAAGAGATAAATAGAGAAGTCTCACAGTGAAGAGGAGATCATGGTTGCTGAGTGGAACTCGGGGTTCCAGCAGGTGCACTATTTCTTATTTTAAGGAAGAGATTAAGTTCTGAATTACAGGAAGGTGGCACCTGTGATTCGCAGCATGAAGCCTATTAACCACGTTTATCTGCGTTTGAACTATTTTGATCTTTGGTTTGAAGCGTTCTCTCTTCTGCCATCATCTCGTCGCCTGCGTGCGGATGCCGAGGCCGCCGCCTATCTTTAGAAGCCACTTCCTGCGCTGCTTTGCTGATCTGGTCGACGGAGCAGCGGCGAGTCAGGCCGAAGGAATGTGGGAGAGTTTCTGAGGGAAACCTTCTAATTTACCCCGAGCTTTATTTTGGAAGGAATGTTTCCTAATTATTTAAACTGTTAACGCGGCTTCAGTGACCTTGAGATGCGTTCAGGCTCCCCTCAGTGAAAACCAGTATTATCTCAAGATCAAGCATTATCAACACGCGATGTGTTCAAATGTAACCTGGTAAAATGTAGTTTTGCTGATCCAGATGCATTTCAGAAAGAAGAAGAAAAATGGAGGTTTGAGTTGTCCAGACCTCCATTTTTCTTCTCCTCGGCGTTGACTTTGTTCCATCTGTACACGTTGGCTGACCCCATAGATTCAGATCATAACGTCCCGGAACAGTGGCAGCAAATGGAGACGTGTCCGCCGCTTCTTCCGAACCCGCAGCCAAACCTCATTTTCTGGAGCTCGTCTCCATGGCAACGCAGAGACAACAGAGGGATTTGCCGTCAACTGAGATGTTGCAGGATAAGAGAAAAAAAAGCAAGTAGGCAGTGGAAGCACACAGGGAGTGACACAGAGGCCCCCGATGACTAACGCTCCCAGGATGCATTGCGGGGGGGGGTGTGTGTGACTGATGGCGGTGGAGTGGGAGGCCTCACGTGATGAGATGCCTTCACCACGTCGTTTATCTCTCTGCTGATTGGAAGCACATGCTGCTGGCGATAGAGTCCTGTTTCTCTGTCCTACGGGGACGGGTGTGCGTGTGCGAGGTGGAGCAGTTGGTGGAGCAGTTGGTGGAGCAGTTGGTGGAGCAGTTGTTTCGAGTCGATGGGGCCTCGTGCCTTTGCTGCGACTGAGATAAGAGCCTTCAGGCTCTGACCGCAACTGACCAGTAAAGTCAGCGTTATTTCACATGTCACTCTATCGGTTTCTCTCCCAAGCACCAACACTCGTCCTGTGTGGTTCAGACTGAGACCTTTCAGATCAATATCTCAGTATCGGAGACTTTGAGCCGCTCGCTGTGGTTTCAGTCTGAGGATTAACCATTAACCATTTTAAACCCCTCCATGTCCCTTTTATTCCTTCGTTTAATCAGACTCATATTTACCCATCGAACAAAACAACTAGCAGAAGTACTTCACTACCAGTCAGTGGAAATATGTCCATCAGCTTCCTAAAGCCCCCAAAGACGTCCTTAATCAGCTGGTTTGAGGCCGTCGAATCCACATTCATCTGCTTAAGAAAAAATACGCTTCATTCTTTGCTGTTATTCATCACAAACAAAACAATTGTTGACCTGCTAGCGGCAGAATTACTACAAACCCTGTGGTTAGTTTCTGTTGTGTAACAACAACAACAAGGAGAACTTTGATCCAGTAAGCTCCGTCCGCAACAGGCCATTGTGTGTGTGTGTGTGTGTGTGTGTGTGTGTGCGTGTGTGTGTGTGTGTGTGTGTGTGTGTGTGTGTGTCCATGCACGTGATTCACAGAGAATGACTCACACAGCAAAGAACCAGGGGGGGTCACGCCGCCGGTCCTGATTTAAAGGGCTTGTTTCTTCAGCCGGATGTCTCCATGGTAACGGCGACATCTCTGTCCAGCCGACATCTGGTGTGTTTGTTCCTCTGAGTGATACGTCTCCTCCCCTCGTCCCGCAGAGCTCGACGCAGGAGATCGCCGAGGAGGCCGAGGAGGACGCCATCTTCACCATCACGCTGAGGAAGGTGCAGCTCCACCAGTCGGCCAGCAAAGGGCAGCGGTGGCTGGGCGTGGAGACGGACTCCGCCCTCAGTCTCTACGAGACCTGCAAGGTGCGCACCATCAAGGCCGGCACGCTGGAGAGGCTGGTGGAGTACATGGTGTCGGCCTTCAGGGGCAAGGACTCCACCTACGTCACCATCTTCCTCTGCACCTACCGCTCCTTCGCCTCCACCAGGCAGGTGCTGGACCTGCTGCTCAACAGGTAGGGGTGGGGGTGTGGGGGGGGGGGAGGGGGGGGAGTGTCTGCTTCATCAGATAATGCCTCATTTGCCTATTTAAACATAACGTTTCAGTGGACTGGTGTGTGTTGATATCGACTCTCTAATTTAATCAATAATTCAATTCATTTCATTTTGTAGTAAATTACGTATTAGCCTCAGAGGGCTTTACAGTCCGTACACATGCGACATCCTCACATCAGCACAGGAAACACTGATGAAAAAGGGAGGAAACCTCAGTGAGAACGTCAGAGGATCCGTCTCCTGATGGACAGACTACAATGATGTCATGTGGACAGAATGAACAATGTAGAAGATGAACGATACATTCAATTATGACAGAGATGATTAAAATGTACTAAATGTGATTAGTAAGCAGGTGTACGACAGGACCACTGCAGGGACAACCACCGTCAGATAGAGCCACCGTCTCATAGAACGACCGTCTCATAGAACGACCGTCTCATAGAACCACCGTCTCATAGAGCCACCGTCAGATAGAACCACCGTCAGATAGAACCACCGTCAGATAGAGCCACCGTCTCATAGAACCACCGTCTCATAGAACCACCGTCAGATAGAGCCACCGTCTCATAGAACGACCGTCTCATAGAACGACCGTCTCATAGAACCACCGTCTCATAGAGCCACCGTCAGATAGAACCACCGTCAGATAGAACCACCGTCAGATAGAGCCACCGTCTCATAGAACCACCGTCTCATAGAACCACCGTCTCATAGAACCACCGTCTCATAGAACCAACGTCAGATAGAACCACCGTCTCATAGAGCCACCGTCTCATAGAACCACCGTCTCATAGAGCCACCGTCAGATAGAACCACTGTCTCATAGAACCAACGTCAGATAGAACCACCGTCTCATAGAGCCACTAACAGATAGAACCACCGTCTCATAGAACCACCGTCTCATAGAGCCACCGTCAGATAGAACCACTGTCTCATAGAACCAACGTCAGATAGAACCACCGTCTCATAGAGCCACCGTCAGATGGAACCACCGTCAGATAGAACCACCGTCTCATAGAGCCACCGTCAGATAGAACCGCCGTCTCGTAGAACCACCGTCAGATAGAACCGCCGTCTCGTAGAACCACCGTCAGATAGTCACCGTCTCATAGAACCACCGTCAGATAGAAACACCGTCTCATAGAGCCACCGTCAGATAGAACCACCGTCAGATAGAACCACCGTCTCATAGAGCCACCGTCAGATAGAACCGCCGTCTCGTAGAACCGCCGTCTCGTAGAACCGCCGTCTCGTAGAACCGCCGTCTCGTAGAACCGCCGTCTCGTAGAACCACCGTCTCATAGAACCACCGTCTCATAGAGCCACCGTCAGATAGAACCACCGTCAGATAGAACCACCGTCTCATAGAGCCACCGTCTCATAGAGCCACCGTCAGATAGAACCACCGTCAGATAGAGCCACCGTCAGATAGAACCACCGTCTCATAGAACGACCGTCTCATAGAACCACCGTCTCATAGAGCCACCGTCTCATAGAGCCACCGTCAGATAGAACCACCGTCAGATAGAACCAACGTCAGATAGAGCCACCGTCTCATAGAGCCACCGTCTCATAGAGCCACCGTCAGATAGAACCACCGTCAGATAGAACCACCGTCTCATAGAACCACCGTCTCATAGAGCCACCGTCAGATAGAACCACCGTCTCATAGAACGACCGTCTCATAGAACCACCGTCTCATAGAGCCACCGTCTCATAGAGCCACCGTCAGATAGAACCACCGTCAGATAGAACCACCGTCAGATAGAACCACCGTCTCATAGAACCACCGTCAGATAGAACCGCCGTCTCGTAGAACCACCGTCAGATAGAGCCACCGTCAGATAGAGCCACCGTCAGATAGAACCACCGTCAGATAGAACCGCCGTCTCGTAGAACCGCCGTCTCGTAGAACCGCCGTCTCGTAGAACCACCGTCTCATAGAACGAACGTCAGATAGAACCACCGTCTCATAGAGCCACCGTCAGATAGAACCACCGTCTCATAGAACCAACGTCAGATAGAACCACCGTCTCATAGAGCCACCGTCAGATGGAACCACCGTCAGATGGAACCACCGTCAGATGGAACCACCGTCAGATGGAACCACCGTCTCATAGAGCCACCGTCAGATAGAACCACCGTCTCATAGAACCAACGTCAGATAGAACCACCGTCTCATAGAGCCACCGTCAGATGGAACCACCGTCAGATGGAACCACCGTCAGATGGAACCACCGTCTCATAGAGCCACCGTCAGATAGAACCGCCGTCTCGTAGAACCACCGTCAGATAGAACCGCCGTCTCGTAGAACCACCGTCAGATAGTCACCGTCTCGTAGAACCACCGTCAGATAGAAACACCGTCTCATAGAGCCACCGTCAGATAGAACCACCGTCTCATAGAACCACCGTCTCATAGAACGACCGTCTCATAGAACCACCGTCTCATAGAACCACCGTCTCATAGAGCCACCGTCAGATAGAACCACCGTCTCATAGAGCCACCGTCAGATAGAACCACTATCCACAGAAGCCTGTGGGGAGAGGGAGCACAAAGACTTTTAATGATGTATTAAATCTGAATTATATTTGAGGTAGGACCTAAAAATCTGCATCACAATAAACAACATACTTATTTGTTTCTGCTATTCTGTTTTATCCTGGTAAAAATGATTAAGTAAGGACATTAATTTAAACTATTCAACTATTTACAACAACTATTTAAAGAAAGAAACAGCTTCTCTCACAAGATGAAATAAAGCAGAAATATCACAATACCTCTAAAGTGCACAAAGAGGCTGATTCTTTCTCTTCGAATGTAAATATTGATTTCTTCTCTTTCAGGTACGCAAAGCTCCAAAACGCGCCGGCAGCCGCGGCCCACCGAGTGTCCCAGGACGACCGCACCGAGCTCAGGAAGTGAGTGTGTCCCCGCCCATTAGCATTAGCATCGTTAGCTCGTGGAAACTCGTATGAGAAAAAGGGAGGACTTATTTTCCTCCAGTCAGGTGCTAATGCTAACCGCTAATGTCCACTACTGATCAGGTCGAGCCTAAATGCATTTTATGTAATCACAAACTGTCTGTTAAACACTGTTTTTATTTATTCTTTACTCTGTGTGTGTGTGTGTGTGTGTGTGTGTGTGTGTGTGTGTGTGCGCGCGCACTTCGCAGCACCGTCTCGTCCATCCTGGGCGCGTGGCTGGACCAGTACTCGGAGGACTTCTGGAGCCCCCCGAGCTACGACTGCCTGCACCAGCTCATGTCCTACCTCCACCGCCACTTCCCCGGCTCGGACCTGGAGCGCCGCGCCCGCAACCTGCTCGCCCACTTCCACCGCCGGCAGCAGCAGTGTGAGCCCGAGCCCGATGGTATGAAGGCAGGACAGGAAGGGCCCGGCGGCGGGGAGGGGGCTCCAGGGGAGGAAAGGCTTTATGGGCTCCACGTTTCTTTGTGGTTTAAAGGCTTGTTGGCAGGAGGGGAGGGGGGAGGGGGGGTAGAAGAGAAAACCACAGGAAGGTCAGAGGGAGGATGAGAAGGTGCAGGATGTGTGCAGGTGTGGAGGCAGCGTTGTGAAAGAAGCCGTGTTCTTCTGTCTGGACCCCCCAGGCGAACACATCGGCTGCCCCTTCGCTACGCAGGAGGAGAGCGGCTTCGAGGACGAGCTTCCTGCCTTCAGCTTCCTGTCCTTCGACCCCATCATGGTGGCGGAGCAGTTCACGCTGATGGACGCGGTGAGCAGGCTTCCCGCTTCTCTCATCACCCCCCCCTCCACCGCTTTATAATAATAACTAGTTATTAAAACATACTCAGTTCCCACATTCGACAAAGAACATTAAAGTTTTAGCATTTTCTCTTAAAAAACAACTGCCTGAGGTGTAACCACCTTTACAGTGAGGTTATCATCTTTACAACTGTCCTTGAACGCGTCAACACTTCCATCCGAATTTACATTTTATTCTAAATGTTTCATTTAGTCTTTCCCCAAATAAAAACAATAAAGTCACACGATCACATAAAACGCATTCAATTCTTGTGAGTAGACGAAACAAAATAACACCGGAGCCCCTCCCCTTTCTTACAGTATGGAAGATATAGAATTTTTGTAAATTAAGTTAATTTCGTAATTCCGCTTGGTTTCTTTTATTTTGTTTTCCTTTCCTTCCTTAGTGCACTTTATGCTTAATATTTTCTTTTTTTTTTAACTTTTCTAATATTTAAAATGTTTAACTTTATTCCCTTGTTTTATACTAACCCACAGCCTTATTCTACTAACCCATTGCATCAGCATTTCATCCCACTTTATTTTATTACTTGTGCACTGTTGTCTTGTCTGTCTACTGTCGCGCACTAACGGCCAAGACAAATTCCTTGTATGTTTGACATATTTTGGCTAATAAATGTTTCCTGATTCCTGATCCTGATTTCTGACATAAATAGTTTATTCTGAACAAAAGACACGTTTAGTTCTCTTTCTTCTCATGACCGTGTCGTTCCCATAGAAAGCTCATGGACGTCTTTATTGGTGGTGAAAAACGAGGAAACAGTCAAATGTAAAACTGAGGCCTCTTACTTCCATAAAAGAAAAGCCCCCCCCCCTCCCCCGCCGGCTCACACGCCTCCACCTCTCCCTCCAGGACCTGTTTAAGAAGGTGGTGCCCTACCACTGCCTGGGGGGGATCTGGTCCCAGCGGGACAAGAAGGGCAAGGAGCACCTGGCCCCCACCATCAGGGCCACCGTGGCCCAGTTCAACTCCGTCACCAACTGCGTCATCACCACCTGCCTGAGCAACCCCACCCTGAAGCCCAACCAGAGGGCCCGGCTGCTGGAGCGCTGGATCGACGTGGCTCGGGTGAGGAAGCAGGGGACCTCGCGTCCGACCTCTGAGTGGCGGTTCGGCAGCCGTTGCCACGGAGACGGGTGTTTGAAGATGGGAGAAACGCGTCATTAATATTAATATTATTTCATACCATTAGCCAAGATAACATATATATACGGTATATAGCTTACGTTATTTAGATTTTATTTTGTGTGTATGTATATGTAAAAAATATATATTTTAATTTGCTAAAATATAATAAATAAAAATATTTATTTTTATACACATTCAAAGAAAAATGTATAAAATATAATATATTAAAATATGAGAAATAAAAGAGGGAAACAAAAGTAAAATATAAGGAAACGGCAAGTATGTACACACATTTTACGATGGTTTTATTATTTTCAATTTAAGTATAATTCCTTGAAAATAAAACCCTTCTAGAGAAGGTTCCCACGTCGAAGAACAACATCACGAGTCGTGCGCTTGTGATCCACATCCAGTATTCCACATGCTGGTGATTTGACCCGATTGAGCCCCCGGGTGTTGACGTCCCCGTGAGACTCAGCGGACCCCCTAAAGCTGCTCTTTGTCCCCCCGGTGTGTTCAGGAGTGTCGGATCTTGAAGAACTTCTCGTCGTTGCGAGCCATCCTCTCCGCCCTGCAGTGCAACGCCGTCCACCGCCTGAAGAGGACCTGGGAGGAAGTGTCACGGTAGCGTCCCGCGCCGCGGCGACTTCACATGTTCTTCAAAGCTGCTCGACCTCTGACCTCTGACCTCTTTCTGCAGGGAGAGTTTCCGCACCTTCCGCGAGCTGTCGGAGATCTTCTCAGACGACAACAACTACTCCCTCAGCCGAGAGCTGCTGGTGAAGGTCAGACGACATCATTTAACAGATCACATCAAACACGCCGCCGCTCAAAACCTCAGAATCTACTACGCCGTTAAAACGGATAACTGCGATTTACTATGACCTCTGAAGAGGCTTTTCTTACAGCGTTCATTTAATATTATACTGTATATATTTGATTTAATTATTATACTATCTAGATGCTAAACCACAAACCTCAGATTATTTTCTCTTAAAGCCTCGATACGGATCAGATTATTCTATTGTTTAGTTTTTTAATATGTATAAGAGCTAGAAACAGTTTTTAAACCCAAATGGTTGTTTTGCGGTGTGCAATAATGAACCGAATGTCTTTTAGATCTTAGACTTAATTAAGACAAATTAAAAATCTTTTCTTTAATTGACTTATTTTAAAGAAGGAAACTAGAGCTTGTTTGTTTTGGGTGTATTTTCCGCGGCGGGTGGTGAGCAGTGAGAGCGTCAAACACAGAATACCACCACCGATAAACCGGCTATTACTTCCACGGATGCCCGTTGTGTGGGAACCCCCCCCTCTGACGTCAGCGAGGGGGAACCTTCAGCCAGTAGATAACGGCTCGGGGGCGTTGCCTCTATCTGCTCAGACCAGGCTGCATCCGCTACGTCAGACATCCGGACTGAAGCCTCACAGCTCACCGAAATGCATTGTGGGAAGCGTAGGACGCAGCGTCCTTGTAGTTCCGAGTGGCGAGACCAGGATGTCTCATTGTCCACCTTCAGCCATTAAGAGACACAAATACATACGATGCTCGGTGTTAATCTACAGACTCACACACTTCACAGTATCTGAAGTGGGATCAACGTATTAGAGAGTGAAGGAGCTTCGTTCCTCGCGTGTTTAAAGCCGACTTGCTCTCGGTTCCTCTCCAGGAGGGAACCTCCAAGTTCGCCACGCTGGAGATCAACCCCAAGCGAGCTCAGAGGAGACACCAGCAGCAGAGAGACCTGGTGAGTCTGTGAGCTGCACCACCTGGCGGGAGGTGGAGGAGCTTCTTCTCCTGTCCCCAAAACCAGCCTCTCATCTCGGTAAAAGTGTATTTCAGAAGAAAAGAATTGTTAGTATTTGTTTCTGTAGGTTGACTTGATGAAAATGTGTCCGTACAGATTGTGCGTCTCTCTGGATGCTAGATTATATTTAGGAAAAAACAAATGTATTATCAAATAATATTTCATCTGCTTCTTCATGCATTAAACCTGAGAAATACTTTAGTTATTTTTACATAAAACCTCAGAACCCATTTTCACAGAGAGGCTTTTATCTGAAGTTTTTCACTATTATTATTATTGTTATTTTATTTATTTGCGCTGTATTTTCTTCGTTTTTCACTCTGTTTTTAAAGGTGCAATATGAATGAAGTTATTATTATTATCAAAGAAATCTACGAATCGGCAGCTTTGATTTTTTACCTCCAAAATACGAAGCTCTAAAAACCATCTGGTGTCAGAGTTGCATCATGAGTGTGTGAGGTGCATCAGGTATCAGCATGCGCTGAGCGTCTGTTCCTCCCCGTGAGCAGGGCGTGATGCAGGGGACGATTCCCTACCTGGGGACCTTCCTGACCGACCTGGTGATGATGGACACGGCCATGAAGGACCACACGGAGGTCCGCCACCCGTCACATTCCGACTCAAGTGAACCAATCAGATCGCTTCATTTTCCCATTCTTATGTTTTTGTGTTTTTTACCTCTTTTTCAGGGCGGTTTGATCAACTTCGAGAAGAGAAGAAAGGTGAGCTGCACTTTCCTTTTTGATTGCAACGATCAGTAAAAAGAACTCAAAAGAATAAATGTTTCTAGTTGAGAGGAGCAATAAAACCTTTTTAAAGTCCAGTGGTGTAAACGTCTCCCTCTCCAGGAGTTTGAGGTGATCGCTCAGATCAAACTGCTCCAGCTGGCCTCCAACAACTACAGCTTCACCCAGGACGCCCACTTCAGGGAGTGGTTCTCAGGGGTGGAGAAGCTGAGCGAGGCCGAGAGGTGAGTCCATTGGGGGGGACGGGGGCGCGTCACACGGCCATTTCATCTGTCCTCCAAACAAACAAAACAACGTATTAAAGATGCAGCCGGTAAAAATGTATTTTATTAGTAGTAAAGAGTAATATCATTCGTTGTTATTGTCACTCAGATTTTATATTTGACATAAAACGTAAATAACGGCACATTCGCCCTCTGGATCGTGTTGCGTTTACTGACACGGGACTTCTGAGCGCCGCATGAACAGAACTGACTGTGAACCGGATGAGGTCCGGTACCCCAGATGTGTTCGAACAGACGTCGTCTCCACGTCCCCGTCTCCACGTCCCCGTCTCCACTCCCCCGTCTCCACGTCCCCGTCTCCACGTCCCCGTCTCCACGTCCCCGTCTCCACGTCCCGTCTCCATTCCCCGTCTCCATTCCCCGTCTCCACTCCCCGTCTCCACTCCACGTCCCCGTCTCCACGTCCCCGTCTCCACGTCCCCGTCTCCATTCCCCGTCTCCATTCCCCGTCTCCATTCCCCGTCTCCACTCCCCGTCTCCACTCCCCGTCTCCACTCCCTGTCTCCATTCCTGTCTCCACTCCCCGTCTCCACTCCCCGTCTCCACTCCCCGTCTCCACTCCCCGTCTCCACTCCTGTCTCCACTCCCCGTCTCCATTCCTGTCTCCACTCCCCGTCTCCACTCCCCGTCTCCATTCCCCGTCTCCACTCCCCGTCTCCACTCCCCGTCTCCATTCCCCGTCTCCGCTCCTGTCTCCGCTCCTGTCTTCACTCCCTGTCTTCACTTCCTGTCCCTGCAGCTACAACCTGTCCTGTGAGATTGAGCCTCTGTCAGAGTCGGCCAGCAATACGCTGAGGGCCAAGAAGAACGGAGGAATCATGAAGCGCTGGAGCGAGTGAGTGATTTTATATATATATATATATATATATGTTAGTATATATATTTTATATTAATGTACATTGTTTAATGAATATCTCCTTGTCTCGCGTCCAGCCGGCAGTTGACGGAGGCCGGCTGCAGCGGCGTCCCGGGCTCTCACTCCAAGTCCTTCGACCACTCGCACTACAGGCCCTACCAGGGGGGCGGAGGGGGCGGGGGGGACAGCGGCGACGCCCTCAGCGTCACCTCCGTCAGCTCCAGCGGGTCGGACCTGGAGGACGTGAACGCCAGCTTCCTGTCCGACTCTCCGGAGGGACACGAGAGGAAGGTGAGAGACGGAGACCGTTGTTGTGCAGGGATTCAATGGACAAAAGATCATTAACCCAAGTTCCCCCCCTCACCCCCCGCCCTCCCCCTTTAGACGTCGACTCCCTCGGTGAAACTCACCGTCTCTGCTCTGGGGAGAGAAGCTCCGGCAGCCGATACGACGTCAACGGTAACGGTACTTCTGCATTTTTATTTCTATTTTCACCCTCCGAGTGGCTCGTGAGTAGATTTATTAAGCACATTAAGACATTATTAACAACATCCTCATCCTGGGTCGAAGGTCAATCTTAAGTTACAAACTCATGTTTTTCTTCTCCTGACTCTAAAAGCAGAATTACATGATCTGTTCTCATCGTTGGGAACTGATTTTTGATCTGCGACCTTCGGCCTCTGGGAAGTTTCAGGATAACTGCTCACTATTTACTGCCGTTTCACAGTACTTGACTCCCCTAGAGCTTAGAGATCATATCCTGGCCCTACATTACCCACAATGCAACTCTCCCAGCTCCTCCCCAGACCACCTGTAGAGACCCACACTTCAGATTGTACGATAACTTTCCTGCTGCTTCATGTGTGAAACGCTCCCCCCCCCCTCTCACCCGTCCCCCTCTTAGTTCTGGGAGTGCACGTCCCTGTCCTCCCTGGACACCTCCGGCTCGGCCTCGGGCTCCAGCAGCGCCTCCTCCTCCTCCGTCTCCTCCTCCACGCCGCTCTCTGCCTCCCGCTCACACAAGCGCTCCGCCTCGGCGGTGTCCAACTACTCCACCCTGTCGCTGCCGCTGTACAACCAGCAGGTGGACGACTGCTGCATCATCCGGGTCAGCCTGGACGTGGAGAACGGAAACATGTACAAGAGCATCCTGGTGAGCGCTCTGACTAACTGTCCTTTTAGCTTCGATGCTAACGAGCTAACGGGGAGGCGACGCCAATGTGAGCGGGCGGATCATTTCAAGACTTAGTCGATGATGCAACGAGCTAAGAGGAGGAGTGAACCACGGATGAGGAGGAAACCGTCGTCTGACTCTTTCTTGTGGCTCCAGGTGACGAGTCAGGACAAGACGCCGGCCGTCATCAGGAAGGCGATGATCAAACACAACCTGGAGCGGGAGAAGACCGACGAGTACGAGCTGATGCAGAAGATCTCCGAGGACAAAGGTGAGCGAGAGCGCCTCGTACGTGTCGACCATGTGACCACACGGACGCTTCATCTCATAATCCATCCAGAATAATCACGAAATGCCGCGTTTGTTTTGACCGACTGCTTTCTCTATCGCCCCCCCCCCCCCCCCCCAGAGCTTCGTATCCCGGACAACGCCAACGTTTTCTACGCCATGAACTCCACTGCCAACTACGACTTTGTGCTGAAGAGGCGGGGCTTAGCGCGGCCGCTGCGCGCCAAGAATGTGACCAGTTCCACGCTGCCGCGCATGAAACAGAAGGGACTGAAGATCGCCAAGGGGATTTTCTGAGGAAGAACTCGCCCCCCCAACACCCCCCCCCACCCTCCCCTCCCTGGTCTCCGCCCCTCAGGGGAAACACTTGCGTCCGGAGCTGAAGTCTATCTGAGTTTTTGCTTTTGTTACGGGGACGCAGGGGGAGACGAGCCCCCCCCCCCACACAAAAAAAAGGACAAACACAAAAAAAAACAGAGAAATTTTAAGAGGCCGGGAGGTTTCATTTCTGGGCCCCTCACCCTTTTGTTGACAAGCGGTTTACCTCAAGTCAGAACCCCTCAAAGAACCCTTTTTCTTTGACGTCCCTCCTCGTACGCGCAGGGCGGCCGGCTGTGTTTTCGAATGTGTTTCCATTTTTTCAGGGAACTTTTTCTCGCGAGTGAACCGCCGCCTTTACGTCCCGGCCTCCCCGACCTGCAGCGGCGGCACCGAGGCCCCGCCCTCGGCCCCGCCCTCGGCCCCGCCCTCGGCCCCGCCCTCGGCCCCCTCGGCTCCTTTCCAAAGGTTCAAACGCCGCCGACGTTGAGGAATCCCCAAACTACTTGGACTTCTGAGCGCTGCCACATTAGGGGACAGAATAAGAAGAAAAGAAAAGGTCAATTAGTCCGAAGAGCCAGCGGGCGCAGCCATGAATCACATGCCCTGAATGAGAACCTGGTAACCACGGCAACGCGAGGACGAGGCGTCGTCCTGGGAGGGAAGAAGTGAGTGTGCATATACATATTTATATGTATATACACATATTGACAGTATTTTCCTTTGAGTCGGACTGTGACACTTTGTTTATAGACTTGATATCGATGTTTTTTCCTTCATGTTGCTTTGTACATTTTTCTTTTCTGATGCAATCTGCTCTGATGTGGTGCTGCTAACTATCGCCTCACTGCTTCTTCTTCTTTCCTTTCTTTTTGTTGTTCGTTCCGTCTTTAATGGGTTTGCTGTTTTCAAAAAATGTTGTTTCATCTTTAAATCTGTCAACAATATAGAAGAAAAGGAAAATACATTTTCCTTGCAAACGGATTCAATTTGATCTTAAAAACTGCAAAAAACTGTACTGAGTTTATTAACATTTATTCTTTGGAAGGATCTTCGTGAACAAACATTTCGACCCTCAAAACTAAAGCTTAAAAAAAGGCTTGTCAGCAGCTCATCAGTGCACCCATTTAAATGGTGATAATGATGATTATTTTATTGATTTAAAAGTGCTGCAGAAAAACTTAGATAAGATAAATATATATTTTATGAAGGAAAGAATACTGAATATAAATGTTTGATTATGAAGTTTTCATCGCCTCACAAAATCACAACATTTTCTGCAACAGCAAACTGATCTTCTGGTAGACGAAGGGGGAGCAGGTGGAGGAAGAGGAGGTGGAGGAAGAGGAGGACTGGTGTAGCGTTTCTTCCAACATGGCGGGTGTGTGATGTCCCAGCCTCTCCTCTCTGGAAAACATTTAAAGGATTTCGATGGTTTTTCTCCGACTTTTCCCACCGTCTCTCTTTTTTTTTTAAAGGAAAAATCCACCACTTCAGTTATTGTTTTTTAAAAAGCAGCTTTTGGTGACGTGCTTTCGGCTTTTGAGGGAGTATTTCTGACAGTTTGGCTATCTGTTGCAAAGTTCTTCTTTGCACATGCCACTCACCGCTGCTTAAACATCTGTCTCATGCACATTGACGCTATTTGTTATTTTCTGGATCAAAGGGACCAAAACGCAGCTTCTCACTTCGGGATTATTTGCCAGCTGTAGATTTCTTCTTCTGATGCTTATGACTTGTAACATTGCTCTTAAACAAGCACTTAATGCTTCACACGTGGTGAATTGTAAGTCCCGTGAGTTGGGTGAGGACAGACGTCCTGGTTTCACATCTTCTCACTAGAGGACCTTCGGGATGAGTTTTGACGGCTAATGTTAGCTTAAGCTGTTAGCGTCCAGGGGCTCAGGGCGCTACGGACCGCTCATGACGTCACCAACCCTTTTCAAAGATGTGCTCTTGGACCCTAAAAGTAACTCTTGAGGGTCGCGCGGCCGCTGCAAAGCATCCTGGGAAATGTAGGAAACGGCAGGTTAAAGTGCGATCAGCGAAAGTTGGATTTTTCCTCACGTCTCCCCTCTTCGCCTGGATTGCAGAGCGACCATGTTTTGCCTTTTTCTTTCTTTATTTCCAGCTGCATGAAGTTCACCCTGACGATCAGATGAGTGAGGACAGAGAGAGAGAGCGATGTGGTGAGGAGCGGCAGCAGGCGGCTGAGGAACACTGTGACCTTTGACCCCTCTCACTCTGCCTGTCAAGTCGAGCACTGTGAACAAAAAGAAAAAAAGAAGTAAACGTCCACCCCCCCCAACGGGGTCGTAGTGAACATCCACGACAGACTTGATCCTCCATGTGCCAAAAACATAGAAGAGAGAAACAGACGAGAAGAAAAACAAGTTGTATGTTTACTGTTGTGTGCATCTTTCGGGGGGGGTGAGACCGTCTCCCCGAGGACAAGCAGACAGGATCAGAGACTCCACCACGAATCCATCCGCCGCATCTTTCTGTTCCTTCAGGATCAAAGCTGCCAAATTAGCAGATATAAAAAAACAGTGACTCTTAAACATAAAACAGTTTTTTTTTTTTTATTCCAACCAACCAGTAGAAACAGAGTCTCAGTCTACTAACAAGGGTTTTGTTGTTCGGTGAGAATCAAAGGCGCCGTGCTTCTGATCCGGAGCTCCGTCCTGGAGGAGACTGAAGGTCTCTGCAGATGTTGAGTGTTTCACGTCAGACTTTGAGACCAGTTTCAGGGATAAAAAACGAGTGTAACAAAGAGACCTTAAGTGCAACAACACTTCAACAACACCTCGATGCTTTGTCTGCTTCCCCTGAAGATGTGATTCTTTAAAATGCTTCTTCTCAGGGGTCCTCAATGGTACCCCCCCCCCCCCCCCAGCCCGGTTTGGTTGGAACAAAAACAGTTTTTAGCCCTTAGTCAACGAATAAAGTCTGTTTCCAGCTGTTCCTGCAGCTGTCCGTCTCCTGAAGCACGTGAGTGGACTCCAGATGGTGTGGGACTGGTTTGTGTGTCGTCGTAGCCCGTGTTGACATGAAGTACCTTTTTGTGTGTGTGTGTGTGTGTGTGTGTGTGTGTGTGTGATTTGACCTGATTCTGTGCGAGTTTGAACAAAAAAGGTTTACAAGAAGAGAGAGAAAAAAGTTTAGTTTTTAATTCCTTTTCCGTTCCCTTGAACTGTGCTCGGGTGCCATTCTGTTTTCATTTTAACAAAAAAAAAAGAATTTCAGAACTTTTTCTAACTGCAGTCTCTTCTCTTTTCTTTTTCTGAACACAAACATCATGTGTAGAATGCAAAAACTGTCTGTGATTGTTACCTTGTTTATTTATTGATTTGTATATAAAGATTTTGTTTTGCATTGTACATTCTCTCCTTTCTTGGGTATAGATTAATATATTCATGTACATACGAATAAACATTAAGTTTATAAAATTAACTAGACCTTTTTCTCTTTATTATTCCGTCCTTTCGATTAAGATTATTAGGAGCTCTTCAGTGATTTACAGAAGCTTCATAATGAAATATTTATTTACCAGAAGCATATCAGAGCGCCAAAATAGTTATTTTTTAATTTGTGTAGATTTTATCACAAAATAACGTTAATTAGTTTTTAAGGATCATAATAGCGTTGTAATGTAATGTATATTATCTTGTTAAGTTAACGAAAGAACATAACTTCCTCATATGCGTAATCAAACCTTGACAATAACACTTGCTTTTCCTTTTCGACGCTGTAGCGGCTGCTGATTTGACTACGTCATCTCTCAGCGACAGAAGCGTCTTATCTTCTGCGCCTGCGCAGTGGCACAGAGCTTTGTTGTTTCCCTTCAGAATGGCGCTTAGCAAAACGTTTGGACAAAAACCGGTTAAATTTCAGCTCGAGGAAGATGGAGACTTTCACATGATCGGATCGGAGGTTAGTAATTAACTATGTAAAATAAAGCATGTACTAGTAACTAGTATTTGGCATCCACGATTAATTGGAATGGCAACCCTTCGGTTAGCGATAAGCTAGCCAGCTAACGATGCAGGACAACAAGATTCATTCATTTAACGTATGAGCTGCGAAGATGAACCACAGTAATCGGTATACCTATTTAAAGTAATGGAATATCAATTGTTCAGAAACTTTCCTCTTCACCCTGTTTGCTTCCGCTCAGCTAGCTATAAGTAAACACGTATGCTAAGCGAGCTAGCTTGCTAATGCTGCATTATTTGTTGTAGTGAAGATTGAACGATATACTGTGTTGCTATTCATGTGTAATGATCTTCTTGTAACTTGTTACGTGACTCTGGCCACCCAATATGAACGTGAACTTAACTACATGGTCATTTTATTTGTATAGCACATTTCATCAACAAGGCAATTCAAAGTGCTTCACATAAAACATTTAAACACCAGAGCAGAGCAGGAAGGATCGTTTTAAGTTGAACGATACTCTTAGCCGTACTGTGTGTGTGTGTGTGTGTGTGTGTGTGTGTGTATATATATAATGTATAATGTGTGTGTGTGTGTGCGTGTGTGTGTGTCATAGGTGGCAGACTTCAGGTTAACACAGCTACAAATATACAATATAACATACAAACAAACAAGTCACATTGTTCAATAAATAATGGAGTCATAACCCGTTGAACCTAAACGTGAGAATGTTCCCTTCAGTAATTCTAGGGAATAATCTGTTCCTTTCAGTGTTTGTTTATAGCCTACTTAAAAAAGACTTTCTTTCTCCTTTTTGTGTCCTTTTGTCTGTTCAGGTTGGAAACTACCTGCGCATGTTCAGAGGCTCCCTGTACAAGAGATACCCGTCGCTATGGAGGAAACTGGCTTCAGTAGAAGAGCGGAAGAAGATAGTGGAGTCCTCCCACGGCGAGTCCTCACACATCCCGCCACGGCTCTGAACTAGTGTTGATAGTAATGTGACACTGAAGTGCAGAGCTACTCTACTGAGACTATGAGAACATACTACAGTTTGTATAAGAGATGATTAAAAATGAAAGAGCCCATCGGTTCCACTCTGGTTTGTCGTCCTGCAGATCACGGCTACACTCAGCTGGCCACCAGCGTGACTCTGCTGAAGGCCTCGGAGGTCGAGGAGATCCTCGAGGGAAACGACGAGAAGTACAAAGCGATCTCCATCTGCACGGAGCCGCCCGCCTACCTCAGGTACCTCCGCCGCTGCGTGTGGCGCTGGTGATGCAGCTGTGGTCAAATGGCTCCGATGATAAACGGAAGCAGTTCATGAGCTGACGATGATCACTGGTTGACCTTTACGGGCTTAAGATTTAGAAAGCTTTGTCCGATGCACTCCGAATCTCCCCGGGTTCGTATGTACAAACAATTTTATAAAGTCACTGTATGTTTTGTACAAATGTTTGTATGTATGTTCTATGTGTGTGTAGTGAGAACGGCTAACAACAAATAAACTCGTTATAACTTTGAATACAAAGCAGGAAACAATGTGTTAAGATTCTCCGTCTCCGATTAGAAACACGTGTCCCCTTTTGTATGATTGTGTCATATTTATATGTGTATATTTCTATAAGTGTGTATGCATACTCCCTCCCCAGCAGGGAGCAGAAGGCCAAGAGGAGCAGCCAGTGGGTTCCCACGCTGCCCAACAGTTCCCACCACCTGGACGCCGTTCCCTGCTCCACCACCATCAACCGCAGCCGGCTGGGACGCGACAAGAAGAGGACGTTCCCTCTGTGGTGAGCGAACCTCCACCGCTCCGGCATTCTCCCTCAAAGGGGGGCGGAGGCGTCGGCAGGTTTTGGGCACAGTGAACTCTGTTGTTGTTGTTGTTGCTGCAGTTTTCAAGTCGCGTTTGTCTGAAGCAGACCTGCAAACATTTTCGCCAAAATTTGCCGCTTTGAAATTAGAACACGTCATTCACGTGAACCGTGTAGATCCGGAGAGGTTTTTTTTGGGGGGGGGGGCAACTGGCCGGCCAGCGTTTCTGAGGTTGCAGTGACCCCCCCCGCCCCCCTGTTTGCAGGTATGTTGAGGGCCGTTTGTATGTTGTTTTTTTTCTTTTAAATGTGACTTTGTTTGTGCGACAGCTTTGATGACCACGACCCGGCGGTGATCCACGAGAACGCCACTCAGTCGGAGGTCCTGGTGCCGATCCGTCTGGACATGGAGATCGAGGGGCAGAAGCTCAGAGACGCTTTCACCTGGAACATGAACGGTAACCTTCTAATCTCACCGCCGTCTCCCTCCCAGCAGCTGTCAAATAGTCATTAATACATAATGATAAAAAGTCTATCGCCCCGTGACGACCAAAACCATCAACGTTCCTCTTTTGCTTGGAACCTCCAGAGAAGCTGATGACGCCCGAGATGTTCGCTGAGATCCTCTGTGACGACCTGGACCTCAACCCGCTGGCCTTCGTCCCCGCCATCGCCTCCGCCATCCGGCAGCAGATCGAGTCGTACCCCACGGACAGCCTCCTGGAGGAGCAGACGGACCAGAGGGTCATCATCAAGGTGAGGGCCGGCGCAACAGCAGCAACAGCAACAGGGGCAGCAGCGCGGCGGTCCCGCGGTGACGCCCCGCCTGTCTCATGTCTCGCAGCTCAACATCCACGTGGGGAACATCTCGCTAGTGGACCAGTTCGAGTGGGACATGTCGGAGAAGGAGAACTCCCCGGAGAAGTTTGCCCTGAAGCTGTGCTGCGAGCTGGGCCTCGGCGGCGAGTTCGTCACCACCATCGCCTACAGCATCCGGGGGCAGCTGAGCTGGCACCAGAGGACCTACGCCTTCAGGTATCTAAATCCCCCCCAGGATTCTCCTTTCAGTGTTCGATCAGGACAGCAGGTGGCGCCGACGCTCCGGTCACGGTAAAACGCTGCAGAAGAGACGAAGAAAATGTGCCTCCGGACGCCGTTCTTTAACAATGAAAGGAGATGAAGCTGCTCTGACAGCGGATAGTTTCATCAGATTTAGGGTTTTATAGTCTTCACTGGATATCAACAAGTTGTAAACAGTGTGACCTTTGACCTCTCGCCGAGAGCTGGATTTGGGGTTAAACCTTGAGTCTTGTGTTCCATGTTGCTTCTCTAGGTGAAAAGCTTCTCGGGATGTGAAATACTTAAAACCCAGACAGCGGCGGTGACCTCTGACCTCTGACCCAGAAGATATGTTCCAGGGCTTTATTGGTTTCATCATCTCAAAACAGGGAGAAGAACTAAGTGAGAGTAAAGTTGCAAAAACTAGTTTAAGGCGTAATATTGAATTGTTTTGAGTCTGGATTTTCCCTGAAACATCCGTCGCCGTGGCAACGCACACGGTGGATGTTTCAGTTACACTTCAGTATTTCAACCGAAACGTCTTTTGAAGCTTCAAGTTAAATTGACTTCAAAAGTTCCACCGAGTTTGCGGCTGCAGGAGGAGAGCCCTGGATGTGACGAAGGTGATGATGATGATGATGATGATGATGATGGTGATGATTTGTGCAGTGAAAACCCGCTGCCCACGGTGGAGATCGCCATCAGGAACACGGGCGATGCCGACCAGTGGTGCCCCCTGCTGGAGACGCTGACCGACGCTGAGATGGAGAAGAAGATCAGGGACCAGGACAGAAACACCAGGTGAGTGCTTCAGGAGGGAGGCTTCCTTCCTGTCCACCTCTGCCTTCAAAATAAGAGCCCACTCTCCGCTCACTAAGGAACAATGTTCATGTGATAAATGTGTTGAAGTAGTTTCTTCAAACTCATTGATTTTACCGTCATAAAAAGACAAGACAGACCAGATTTTAGCAACCAAGTATTTGTTTATTAATTAAGTCAATTGCTGAGGAGAAATGACAGAAAAGCTTTGTAAAATGTTGAATATTGCATTGTATTTGTAAATCACGGTGATGATGAGGTCAGGTGGACCAGGTCTGGGACGTCTCTTATGACGTCTCCTGTCCCCCCCCAGGCGGATGAGGCGACTGGCCAACACGGCCCCCGCATGGTAGAAGACGCTGCCCCCCTTTGGCTCGTCTGGATCGAGGTGCAACGCGGGCGGCTCGTCTCCTCCTCCTTTCTGTGTTATTTTCTTAATTTTTTAATTGTTTTTAATGTTAATATTGTGTTCTGTAGAAAGAAATACCCCTTTGTCCCCCCCCCCTCGGCGTGGAGGAGCCGCTCGCTCGCTTTGACCTCTGGAACAACGCAGCCAGTCTCAGATAATATATATATATATATTGTTATGTTGTATTTGGTGTCTTTTGTACATTTTAATAATTCTTACAAAATAAAAAACAGTGAGAGCTTGAATTGCTTGTTGTTGTTGATTCTTTAATATTTGTTTTCAAGTTTAAAACATCTTTCAATAAGTTTCTGCAGTAACTAAATACATAATTACTCACATGATTCAGCGGTTTTATTCACTTTAACAGTTTGTTAATGAGCTGAAAGTTTCACTCTTGGTTCGTTAAAAGCTAAAACAGAACAAACGTCTCAGATCGTTTGAAGTGATTCGTTTCTAACGTTAAAGCTGTTTTTAGAGACGTTGGTACGGATTGAAAATATCTTTTATTGTCCTGCAATTTGTCCGGTTCCTCAGAGGACGACTCGATCACTCTAGCGCCCCCATCAGGTCACATCTCTTCCCGCTTTATGACGACGTCCCACCGGCCTCGGGAAGGTTTCCCTCCGAGACCAGAAATATTATTTTCATTTTTACAGGTTGATTTTCATTAAATAAAATACACTTTTCTGTTTTGAGCTAAAATGAGATCCACCTTAAATCTTTTATCTGAAATAATTATTTATCTAAAGGTCGATTATTTACCCTTGACTTCCCTTTTCGGCCCCCGAACGATCGTCACTGGCTGAAGAGTGTTGCCATGGGCGACGATGCAGGACACACACACACACACACAGGGACTTGTTTCGTGTTGTTGTGCTAAGCAGTTTCCATTTGGTCGCTCAGTGTCTGACCCACAAAGGCATCGGGGGGGAAAGTGCAGCGTGTGCAGACGGGGCGTCACATGATGTCATTCCTTCATCAGAGACAACGAGGTCACTCGTGTCACAGCGACGTCAGTTTAGTGAAATGAGACGTTTACATGGTTAATGTAAGATCTGCTGATGAAGGGCACTACAAAGCAAATTTAAAAAAGTCCAAATATCAAGATCCTTTCTGTTAGATTCATCTCAAGTCAAAGGTCCTGTGAGAGACGATCGTAGTCGTGGCGACGTCGCACATTGACACTTGGTGGTCGGCTGCTCCACAGGGGGCCTTTAAGCAGTAAACAAAAGAACTACATTCCTTCTACCCACAATGCTTTATGTTCGTTTAAATAACACTTTGTGTCCTTCAGATTTAAAACACTGTGGTGGAGGGGGGGTGTGGTGTGTCTTAGTCCTGGGGGGGGCGGTGGTCTGGGTCCTCGGGCCGGTCAAACAAGGTCCGTCTGGGGGGAGAGAACGAGGCCCAGATGAAGAAAAAACTCTTTGCTTTTCCTAAATGTTTTTATCATTTTGTATCTTTCTCTTTTGATAATGAAACAGTTTATTAAGAAATGTTTTGATGGAACTTTGTAACATTTCTTCTCATTCTCTTTGTGCGCCAACAGGAACGTGTCAAGTTATCGTACGATTTAACAAACAAGGTGTTAAATCTCCAAACAGTATTTTTTTTTTGAAGACTGAAGATTTTTATAGTTTTAAAATAAGATTCTGTCCACACCGACTTCCTTTTTCTAAATGTATCCTCCAATTAAAAGAAGTGACCATATTAGGAAAGTGATCAAGAGATCTGTCAATCACAGTAAGCCCCGCCCTATAGCATACTCTGCTTCAAGGTCTTTGCAGTCGCTTTGGTCAGAAAATAGCATCAGATATGAATAAAAAGCATTTGTTTTTAGCACTTTAGGGTCCAAAGTTCTGGATTTTCTGCCCGATCGTCTTTCTTTGTTAATAAAAAATGAAGGTTCTCTCACAGAAGCTCCGGCGTGGTCAGCAGCTTCCTGCCTCCCGGCTGGTTTGGAAACACGTCTTCCAGGAAGTAGTACACGTGACCGACGCTGATGCCTGATGAAAACACAAAGGAGTCGTCGTCACCTGCTCCATCGCCATGACAACACACGCTGAAGTCTATTCAGACTTGGTTTTGGAGGCTTTAGACACAGGATCTATTTTGAACTGCTCGGACTTTCATCATTTAGGCGTTCTGAATATTATAGATATTCATTTGCGCTTTATTCACATGTCTCTAGTTTACTGTGCTGCCTCTACAGAAGGAGACGAGGTCAAAGTCCCACCCAGCAGGTCGACCACCACGGAGTTCCCGAGCAGCAGCGAGAAGCCGGCGAGCACGAAGGGGAGGAACGGCGCCCGGAAGAAGAGGAGGCCGAAGAGGTCGATGGTGACCAGCGGGTTCCTTCTGCTCCACACGTACACCAGCATGACGACGAAGGCCTGACCCAGGAGGAAGACGTCGGAGAACAGGCCCAGCAGCTGCAGCGCCCTCCAGGTTAAAGCCCACTTTGTTACTCGTGGTCACCGTTAGCATGACGTTAAATGATTCAAAATTACAAGGTATTAAAAAAAAAGTCCATTTATCTGCTTTAATTAAGAAATATCGACTTCTTTTTGAATAATTAACTGAAGACTTTTTGTTGATGTCGTCACTTGGAGAGTGTAAACATTAGTCAATCATACGTTATTCAATAGACGGAAATCCACAACCACTTTTGATTATAAATTCAATTTACTTTTAATTTCTTTCTTCCAGCTTCCAGTTTATTTTAGTTTTTTGCATTTTTCGCTCTTTTAAATTATTATAGTTTTATTTTCAGTTTTTACTGAGTTTATTATGGTGCTTTGTTCATATTAGATAAACCAACAATTATATAACTAATTATTACATTAAGATTAAGTGCTAATTCAATCCAAAAATTATAATTTTTAAAATATATGTACATGAAATTGTTTACAAAGAAATGTTGATATGTAAATAATACATTTACGATAATATTGTATAAATTAATTATTTTCAACTCATTTTACATTCATATTCCTATTTTCCATGCAACCAATTTGCCGACAAAAGTGGAAGATACTTCTATTAACAGCATTATTATGTAAATCTATTTAATTTTCTGTGGATTTTCTCCATATGGATATTATATTCAGTAACGGTGAATCATTTTGAAATGGTGACCGCGTCGTGAAACTCTGACATCTCAGTTCTTCAGTAGATTGTTGTTCAGTCTGTTTGGTTTGTTCTGCGTAATATTCAGTAACGGCGACTCTGTTTGTAGAAAGTTTAAATATTAACTCACCGTTAAAAGCTGTTGCAAATTCCACCAACCTCACCATTGACATACATCATTTATCTTCCAATGAACGCCACTGGCGTGGAGTGAACGGCGGGCAGCTGCGGTCTGCTGAAAGGATACGGTCATCAGCACGCCACCGAACAGGAAGAGGAAGACGAAGTCCGCCGTCCTCCCCCGGAAGCAGCCGTCCTCCAGCAGGCGGCAGTACCGATACCTGCCGCTGCGTCAGGGATGCAAACTACACTCCGGCTCGACAACCACACGCTGATTGTGTTGTCGGAGACGACAATCTCTCATTGACATGCAAGAAAAAGAACTTAAATGAAAGGTTCTGGTTCATACTTTTACCTTTTTATCTAATATGGAGCCACGTCTTCTTTTTAACAAAAAGATACAGAAAGCTGATGTTGAAAAGGAAACTGAATCCAAGAGAACCGAAGAAGAGGAAGCTGGTTATAAGGCGCCAAATCTGAGAGAGAAAGCGAGATCAATAAAGACGAAATGTGACAACGTAGCACAAGTATTCAATAAATGCTACCTGGCATCTTCTGATGATCAGGTCCGGCTTAAAGTACAGCTGGAAGGGGGTGATGACCTCGAGATGCTGAAGACAACAACACACATTAGTTATTTAGTTTGTATGAAGACACAATCTATACTGATTTCAGTTTAAACCTCCAGTGATTTCAGTTTAAACCTCCAGTGATTTCAGTTTAAACCTCCAGTGATTTCAGTTTAAACCTCCAGTGATTTCAGTTTAAACCTCCACTGATTTCAGTTTAAACCTCCTCTGATTTCAGTTTAAACCTCCAGTGATAACTGACACTTCACCTGCCTTCATTTTATTCTCTAAACGAGTTGAACTGCTTTGCTCTTCTAATGACACGGTAATCATGTTCCATGTTGAAGTGTCCCTGAGCAAGACACCTAACCCCTAATTGCTCCCCGGGCAAAAATGTGAAAAAAGCCACGGGTTTAAAGTGTAACGTAAGTCGCTTTGGATAAAAGCGTCTGCTAAATGACCTGTAATGTAATGTAATCAATTTGGATTCTTACACTTTTGATTCAGCTCTGTTGTCATTGTAAGAAACACGGTTACAAACCTTTACACATCCATTAAGTAAAATGAAATATTTTAAAGTAAAAAAAAGTGATTAGAATAAAGTGTCTAAAAATAGCAAATAATAAAGAAAATGCAAAAATATCTATTATAGCGATTATATTTAGGTAGATATAATCTATCCTAATAATCTTTAGGTAGATTTAGTTATTTATGTATTGTCATAATATGTACAATATGTGCAATACACTTTAGATACTTTGCACAGGCTTTATTCAAACATTTTAAATGCATATTGCCGCAAAACTACTAAACATTCTTAAACCACATCAGTTCTTTTAAAGGCAAAAACGTGTTAATGTTAAATGTACTTATATGTAAAGCTTCTTTCATTTATATGAAATGAATAAAATAACAGGAGAAAACAAATACCAACACTAACATAATAAGCAGCTGGACTGTGAATAAAACAAAAGGATTTAGAGTTGAATGTTTCTTCTTCATGTATCGAAATGTTTCCCGCCTCGTCAGAGCTCGGAGGTCAGAGTTTAAACTCGGTTGTTGTTGTTGTTGTTATTGTTGTTGTCGTCGTTTCTTACCACAGCGGCGGTGGTGAGGACGCACGCGGTCGTGTACGCGCGCGTCACCACGGGGATCTGCAGGTACTCGTGAGCGAGGCTGAGCGCCATCGATCTGCTGCTTCACTGACTGACAGCCGCGGCTCCCTGAACGCCGAGCAGGCCCCGCCCCCTGCGCCCTGCAGCAGCCAATCAGATGCCCCCGGCAATTAACACCATCCGCCCCGACGCGGGGAACTCTTTTTACCCGTTATCCTCTTTTACGGTTTATAACCTCATTGGGTTTTATTCATTATTTTAAAACATATCAAGTCTCCTTAAATGAATCATGTGTAATAAAATAAGATATTAATAATAAATTACCTTATTTAAAATAAAAGACTTGACATGAAAACACAAATTATAATCTGTGCTTGTGTTAAATACTGATGATTCCGTGTGTAAAAAGTATTATTATAATCATCATTGTTTAATAATGTCCTTAGCTCTTTATTTGTGGGGAAGGACACATTCTGACATGCCTGCCTTTTCTTTTTAGATGAAATAATATACACACACACGGTAAAAAGGTTATGGTTTTATTAATAAGAAAACAAGAAAACAAGTTTCATTAATTTCAATGTACAGGATTTTACACACATGAGTACAAACAAAGAGGCAATAACCAAACACACGTATGTACATGGAAGTTGTTTGTGTATAAATATTTGAATACGACTCGTCAGCGCCCTGCACTGAAGAACTAACATCTGATCTCAGCTCAGCGGGGCTCAACCTGCGGGACGGGGCCCACACAGGGGTCAGAGCACGGCGTCACCGGGTCCCAGAGAGCCTTTAGATCGAAGAGGAGGAAGAGGTCACGTCCTGTGACGAAGAGCAACTTCCCCCAATGTCGTTTTTAAACCACCTTTAAGTACTAGTACCAATACCACGGAACAAAAGTACTTTTCTTTACAAGTTCAGGTATATTTTCAGCTGACTGCACTTAAAATATCAAAAGTAAAAGTAATATCTCAGCAGTAAAACGTCCCTTTTGACTGATAATATAATAAAATATACGTTATTATGGCACCAGATAGATGTGATTAATGGGAGATAATACGAACATTTAGAGGGAAACAAGTATTTTGTCAAACAAATCGTAGAAGAAACAAACAAATTGAGTGGAGGAGTAGTGTGGAATAGTGGAGGAGCCACTCACAGCTGGAGCACATTAAAGTCACATGATGACGGAGGAGGAGGTGGAGGAGGAGGAGGACACGTTGACCTGAGTCTGATGCGCTGATGTTCTTTTCAGAGGAAAAGGGTTTTTACTTGAGCGTTTTTGACACCCAGCTGGTATGATAACTTCTGTTAGTCAGCAGCCACTGTCCCTGAACGCACCACGGCGAGGTGACGGAGGAGCGGTGACATCATCCAGCGTGAGGCGGAGATGCCGTGATGAGACGCCTCCCTGCTCCTGGGGGGACGTCCTCTAGGGGCGCCCTGGAGCTTCTCTTCAAAACGCCCCAGAGGCCAGAGAGACTGCTGAGGAGGGACATCACCACGGGAGCTTCATGACGTCACGTTGGAGGAGGGACATCACCACGGGAGCTTCATGAGTCACGTTGGAGGAGGGACATCACCACGGGAGCTTCATGAAGTCACGTTGGAGGAGGGACATCACCACGGGAGCTTCATGACGTCACGTTGGAGGAGCGACATCACCACGGGAGCTTCATGACGTCACGTTGGAGGAGGGACATCTCCACGGGAGCTTCATGACGTCACGTTGGAGGAGGGACATCTCCACGGGAGCTTCATGACGTCACGTTGGAGGAGGGACATCTCCACGGGAGCTTCATGACGTCACGTGTGGAGGAGGGACATCTCCACGGGAGCTTCATGACGTCACGTTGGAGGAGGGACATTCCAGGGAGCTTCATGACGTCACGTTGGAGGAGCGACATCACCCGGGAGCTTCATGACGTCACGTTGGAGGAGGGACATCTCCACGGGAGGCAGCAGTGACGGTATCTCCTCCTCCTCCTCCTCCTTTTTCTTCCAACATGAATATTCATTAAGACTCCACATGAGTGACAGGCAGTGTTTGTGTTGGTTACATAACATCTAAAAGGCCTAAATCCCGTCTTTTCTCAAGGGAACCTCGTTGCCCAAATAAGGAATATAAATACGTACTTCATGTGAAACGTCAAAATCACAGGCGCTTCACTTAGAGTGAGGAGAAGCTATTTGTGTCTAGAGGGATCCAGATTATCTACATTAAGCGCTGTGTACTTGGATATTTGGGATGTTCGTGCCATGAATCCAGTGTCTCCATCTAATACTGTGACAGTGTATTGGTGTGCAGACCTTCTGAAAGCCAAACGAGTTGGAAGCAGAGCAGAATGTTCTACTGATACCAAACTCCAGCACAATTGGATTTTGCATATGTTGGGATTCCAGTTGTTTACCGGACATCACGAAGGATTTTCGAGTTGGAACTCATGTTAAAAGTCTGATGTCACTCTTCAAACACTCCCCAATGAAAACGCCTCGGCGCTCTCACGTTCTCACCTCGCCGTGATTAAGAAAAACAAAAATGTGCAAAATGAATCCGGGCGAAGCTGCACAGGAGGTCCGAGTCGGGGGAAACGTTACCTGCTGTTCCTGAGAGGGGAGGATGAACGGAGCAAACAAAGAGGGAAGGATGAAGAACGCAAACGTCTCTGCTCCAGAAACGTCCTCTTCGTGGCCAGAAGAAACTGACGTGACTCACGCGCTCCTGCAGCCGAAGAAATCCACGCCGACGTAGCGCGG